TATATATATATATATATATATGCGCATGTAAGCATACTCATATCTGTGACTTGAAAATGGGGGCAAATAAAGTAGTCTTAACTGCAACTCAAGAAGAGAGAGAAGTGACCCAGGGAAAAAAGATGCTCCCGAGGCGGGAAAGGATAGTAATATAGACTTCTGGATCGAAAAAAGTTAGACTAACATTCTATGAATCTCAGCTGCCAAATCGCAGGTCCGGTTCAGCTAGGACGATGAGCAAATCTTGCACACTTGGGCATTGCAGAGATTAGATGCAAGGACGAATTGGGAAGGCGATTTTGGCAAGCAAGAAGAGGAAGAGGATAAACGCCCTAGTGAAAAACTGATAATAATACCGAAAAAGATAGATGAAAGATAAGAAAAGAAAAGAATGGGAAAATTAGGTAGTTCGGATTACAGTATGAAGAATGATAACTGTATGATGAAGTCAAAGTTGAGGAAAAAAGCTGAAAAACAAAAATTCAAGCGGAATCTTCATTATATATAATTGCTCCTCAGTTCAGGTAAGTGCCATATGGTTTGTCTTTTATAATCATTCTAATCTGATAAAACTCTGAAAGGGCCTGCAAAAGTAAAGCTAGGTGTACGACTCCATATCCAACCTGGATATTATGGATCCGGTCTAATACAAGATGCGATAATGGAAGATAGTAGGAGAGCATCTAAGAAAGTGGAATAATCAAAACGATAAGATAAGAAGGCTTAATTGGAGCACACCATAGGTACATTTTTATAAACTAAATATATTTCATTGTGATGACGAAACAGAGAGGTTGAAAGGTGGACCGAGAAGCCCGGCCATTTCAAGCTCATTCAAACCGAGGAGCTGATTGGAAGTGACATCGGTCCCAAGAAGTTCGTCAGCAAGCAGCAAGCGTCGTGCCCCGGTCTCGATCCCAGACACCGAGACATTGACAGCTGCATTTGTATCGGCAGTAGACAAAAACAGACCAGTGGATGCCACATTATTAGCTGGCAATGAGACAACTGGGATTCCGAAGTGACGATGATTGACGGACAGCATTCCGATTTGTGGCGAATTATCTAAACTTGGCCCAAAGAAAATACCTGGTGTCTGAACCTGCTGAAAGCGGCCTGATGGCGAGTGAACTAACCGAATGTCATGCCCTATTCCCGGGACTCCGACTGTGGATAAAAGCTCCGTTGCCGCTGCCGTCGAGGTTGCTGTATGTTCCATGGATGACTTGTTAGAGGATAAGAGGTTTGTTGAACCAGAGACCAGCTGTCTACCCAATAATAGAAATCCGGAATGCGGAAGCTGCTGATGCTGATGTAGTTTTGGCTGTGGTGTATGCTGTTGTGCTGGCGAGAAGAGTGCAGATTGTTGAGGGTGTGATATATGTACTTGAGGATATTTTGGCTCGGGTGAGGCGATGGCTATAGAATCACCAGAAAATGCCTCAGTAGGTGATGTCGGTGACAATAGATGAATTCGGCTCCCTATATAAGAAGAGGTTCTCGTGTCCAGAGGGAGGTGGAATTGATCTGAAGTCCCAGAATAAGAGGAAGTAATATCTGCGTTGTAAGCTATGGCAGTGGAAGTGCTAACAGAGGTAGGGTTTGCCGAGAACGCAGAAGGGACACTGTGGAAGATACCTTCAGAGCATGGCATTGCGGCATGCATGGCAGTGACACCATTAACGAATGTAGATGCAATTTCCATACCTTGTGTAGCTAAATGGGAAGTAGTTAGGAGGGTAGCAGTATCACTTGAAGATATCAATGAGTCAGTTACATCTAGGCTTGCCAGAGAAGTAGGAAAAATTAGACGAGCTTCTAAGTCGAGGGGCTCAGGAAATGTCAAAGAAACGGTATGCTGTTGTTGATACTGCTGGTGTAGATTATGAGCCTGATGAAGCTGAACTTGTTTCGGAACTGTATAGTTCGATAAAACACCGGTTGATGACTGGAGAACACTCCGGGCCACCATACCATGTCCTGAGCCAGCCAGGAGAGGCAGGTTGATATTACAGCTACAGTTATCAGTGATGGTAGAAATTGGGGCGACAGAGGCGTTAGTGGTGAGAGTAGATCCAGTGAGCATATGGCCTGAATTGGAAGCCTTTGAGAGGCTAGGCATATGGATGGTAGATGCAGCCACAGAGGAGATGGAAGCTGTCGAGTAAGAAATAGTGCCAGATACAGGAGAAGGCAAGAAGTCCGAGGCCAGATGAGGCACGGGGCTGCTGAAGAAGGAAGAGGTTAGAGCAGTGTCACCAATGCCACCACTGCTAACCTGTGGTAGTAAACTTGAGGTGGATGATAGAAGCTGCTGTTGCTGATGCCATGGGGAGGCTAGATGAGAAGATGGCTTTGAATCACTGCTAATCGAGCAAGGGTAGGTTACCAGGCGTCGAGGCAGAAACCCTATACCTGAAATAATGAGTAAAGAAAGGAGATAGAAGAATACTAAATACTAATGATAAAAACTTGCAATTTAAGAGATACGATCTCGATGTTAAAATTAGGTATATGAAAATAGACTCATCTTCAATTATAGCTCGGCTTACTGATCATCTATTGAGTGATACTATTACCTTTTTAAACAAGGCGTGAACGGAGGTAGAGGTATCTCACTTAAAGATATCAATGAGTCAGCTGTCCCTGGTAAGTAAAACAACATGTGAATTTTCAAGTGCGATAAACCTTCAGAAAATGCAAAGGGCGCTTTAATGACCACGACAACACACATTGAAATTTGGTGCGTCTTATCTATGGGAATTTTGTCAAGTGACAGACAGTTTTCTTTTTGGATCTCTATCTCTTTTAATATCATAAAATATATAATTAGGCTGTCTTAATATCGATACTTAATCATTAATGTGTCTATTGAAAGCCAAATGTATAGCCAACGAATGTAAGGCCGAAATGAGCTGAATACAATACGTTTATGGTGTCTGTATTTGCATGAGTAAATGTGCAACTAGCAACTCGTTACTAAACCCGAATCAAGAGATTTTGATATTCACAATATCAGATAATAAGTACGTTGATCAAAACGATCTTAAGGGACATCTACTTTGATAACTCTAAATAATTCAGTCAATCAGAGATAAGTGGAAACCACAAGTCGATACCGAATACAACAATCATATCAATCCTCGACGTAGCCCGAACCAATCAAGTGCATAAAAATGTAGCAATTTCATCACATAATAACGTCAAGTGCAATATTTATTTGAACCATTTCTCCACGTCAAACTTACCTCCCTATTATTTTCCTAAGTTATGGATCACAAGAATACCTGCTAAGCACAAACTATATTTTAGCGGAATGACCGTGTTCTGGAGCAAACCTGTTTTAACCATAAATTTATGAAGGAACTAAATATATAAAAAACAAAAGAATGAGGGTCACCCAATTAATTGAAAACACAAAATAGTGTTTAAGTAATTTATGGCAAGGGGATGGCATAACGGCCATCAGGAGATAAGGAAGCTCGGCCAATTACAGTAGAAAAGTGCTAGTAATTAAAATTGAAGGTGGATATTTCCACTCATTACCTCACAGCGGAAAGAAAGACCCTTGAGTAAAAGTTATAGAGACCAATATGTTACCAATATGTACTGTTGATTGGGGGAATAATATGACTAAAGTTAGAATAACACGATAAAAAGAGGCCATGGGTAGTATATAAAAATTCGCTGAATAGCAAGTACTATAAAATAATAAGACCTTGGCTTGTTCGAAATGCAATACAGATAAGTATGAAGTATAACAGTTGTCAAAAAAATCTTCAGGTATATCATTGTTAAATTGCTTTGTATTTCGTGTGAAAATGCGTGACGGAGATCCGAAGGTCAATTTTCCATGTATTAGGTAATCGTAAGTAGCCATGTAAAATATTGACGTCAAAAATCCAGCAATCAAGGAGTGATTTTATTTCCACATCTTAATTGTTTATAGAAAAATTTAGAATGTAGCCCATAAAGCGTCATTTACTAGTCGTGTTTTTGCAGCATCAAAGGATTCACCTGTGAGATCAGTCGAAATGGAGTTTCAAAATTATATCATAATTATAAACAGTTTTAGAAGATGTTCTTTGACAAACGCGTCATACGAGCTCAATTATGTTTCGCATAATAGGTTAAGAGATAAATTTTGATAATAATCGAATCCTCAAATGGGAAGGATTAGCAAACTCAGAAGGAAGGCGTGAAATAAAATAAGTGAACCAAATATTAGCTAATAATAGCAAGATCAGGAGGGTATAAAGAAATATTTGTGGATTTATAAAGCAAAAACAAATTGAAAAGAATAAAGGTTAACACAATCTTGATTCATATTGCAGCTGGAGAAAGATAAATTAGTCTAATGTAGAAGGAATGATCCCCAAAACAATAATAATGACTATTCGGAAGCGATGAATCAGCTCAGATTACGAAGTAGCCCTCTTGACAAACTTTAGATTAAATAAAACAGTAGTTGGGAGATGCCTTACTTATACCAGAAATATTGCCAAAATATCGATAGAAATAAAGTGTTTGAAATGTGCCTTTTATCTGTGCACCTGTAAGCATCTAAACATAAAATCTGCAAATCCGTAATTCATTCTCTATAAGCAAAAACAATTCATGAGATTTGCTGATAAAATGAAAGACAAACTAGGTAAAATTTGTGGAAAAAATAGGTAAAGAAAGGGAATCACAGTGTGGTAGAGCTAAGTGGATAAAAGAACATAGGTGTAGGTAAAATCAAGGATTACTTAATATCAAATCAACAACCGTTCGAAACTGCAAAGTTTAACTGCATGTGAGCTGGATAAATATTAGTGTATCCCAATTTTAGGCGAGCTCAGAATATAGAGCCAGGAAACATAATAGACAGAATTTTGAAATGCCGCATCCCTTCTTCTTTATAAAGCTAACCTAATATAGTATATACCAACGAAATTCCCTTTAAAAAGATGCAAATAAATAGTTTTTTAACAACCCTAATAAATGTTAAATAAGATTTCTTTAATAAAGCTATTGTTTAAAGGTTAGAGCAAGTGCGATTAAGCTAATATTATCTCAGGAAAGCATTTGTAAACGTAAGAGGAAGTACCTGAGTAGTCAAGGAAGAAATGTTGTATGTATAATGAATTGCAAACATAAAAATGCATTAGGGAAAAAAGTGTGGGGGCAGTCTCGACAGAGAAACTAGATGAAATAGATTTAAAAAGGTAAGGAAAACAAGCGGACGAGCATTTACGATCCAATTTTCAGACAAATGGTTTGCCAACATCAATAAAGCATGTGTATGGACAAGGTTACATAAACGGATGCAGAGGTACACGCTTAAGCATTTGAATGGCGAGAGAAAGATAGTAAATTCCGCTTTCGCCTTTTATTAGTCGTCTCTTCATACATCTCACTCAGTTCAACGTGATAAGAAGTTGGTCAGCTGATGAATGGCTCTCTCATTTAGCACCATGGTACCAAGTTTCTTAGCCAACTCAAATCGATTTCCTTGGGTGATCAGCTTTGACATAGTCAGTAATTAAAGGCATCAGAGTTGAACAGATATTTTTTTAGACAAGAAGATAACGGGAAGACAAGAGTAAAGATTATAAAGAACCGTTGGGGACAAGGAAAGAAGAGCAAGCGAATAAACAAACTAGTTAGAGATATTTTCGTATTGGAGTAGAGTTTAGAGACTACCAGTAAATCAGAAATATGAGAAGTATTCACCCTATTTCGTTTAAGGTGATGGAGGACTGGTAGTAGAATTTTCCCACAATGATATGAGTAGAGCTGACGTTTCCATTAAATTTCACATTGCCTTGCTTTCCCAAACTGCAGTCCACTTCTGGCTGGATGAGAACACATTTTGGGAAAGCAAGGCAATGTGAAATTCAATGGAAAAGTCATCTCTACTCATATCATTGTGGGAAAATTCTACTACCAGTCCTTCATCACCTTAAACGAAATAGGGTGAATACCTCTCATATTAGTTAGAGATAATATGACAAACGTGAATCGAAGAAGAAAATATAAATGGAAAGTAGGTAATGTAGGTAGTTGGGGTACGTAAGAGGAAGCAATCAAAAAAGTAATCAAACAAATCTATACAAAAGTGAATATTGCAGACAATCAGGCAACCATGAATGACTAAATCGTTTTGAATAAATAAACACACCAGTATCAGAGTGAAAACATGTAGATATATACATATGCTGCGTGTACTAACATGTGCAAGGGAAAGCTGCAATGATGCGCACGGATGCCTAAGTATACTGAATAACAACGAAAAGCAGCGGAGCAAACACACCTGGAATTAGATAAGCAATTTCAAATGATGCAAAGATGATATGGGAATCGACGTTTAGGTTTTAAGTAGCACAAAGAAAGGCACACAGGAAAGAGGGATTTAAATGGTTACATCGATATTGTAATGCCCAAATAGGGCATTAATGTCAAATAGTAGAAAGATGGGAAAACTGATTATTAAAAGCCATACAAATAAGTTGTGCATATGTGAATATATGCAAATATATATATATTCTCATTAAGAGACAATGCAAGTAAAGCTAATGGCCTCGATCATTGATCATTTAAAAGGGTGATATGTCCGAGAACTAGGTTATCCATTCAAATAGCCTCTAATATTAAAAAAGGAACATAGCTTTCAGTAGATCTAATCGGTTTATCTGCATACGAGATTACGAATAACCTAGTAATACTAAGCAGCATATCATATTGAGCCTCGTTTTGGCGGAATATTTTGGGTTGACCAAATGTGAAAATGTCTCAACACGAAAACTAAGAAAAAGGTTAAAGGTGCTCTTTGAACAATCCAATAGAAAAGAGTTAGGTGGTCATAGGTGATAACAATGAACGGTAAAAAGGTAGAATTCCGCACTTCTCAGGCAAAGCTTAATGGGGTATTTAAATAATATAAATAAGATGAGGATCAAGATTTGAGACTAGGAGAACTGAAACTACGAACAGAGGAAGAATAAAAACACCCAGGAGGGCCCAGTGGGGACACATGATTGCTCGAGTGTGAAAAGGCTGAAAAAGAATGCAAATACATATTGCTATATATTCACCATCGGGTAAGCTGGTGTGAAGTATTGGATTGAAAAATACGAGTTACATGACAGGCAATTACTGGAAGTGCAATACAATACTAAGACGATGAGTGACCAATGTCACGCAAACCTTCGGAAGTCTCAGAAGCAAAATAAAGTAAGGTATGAAGACCAAGATGGTGTGGCCTTTTGTATGGTCGTAGTCTCCTTTCGTTATATAGAAGTTGTTTGATCTTGTTTTCGCAACTTAATCATATTGGTAGGAATATCTAGAGGGACACATCTAGTGCGTAGTCCATTGTGTGCATGATCACTTCCAGAATCGGATCGTAGACGTGGTACATTCCCAGACGTTTCGCCGGCATCGTCAGTGAGCTTTGCAATTCTTAGCACCATAGAACAACTCATCAGAGACAAGTAAAGCCGGTCCATTGACCAATTATCTGCTAGACAATTGTGGTAACTCTCCTTCTGTCCTGAGCTATTTACCAATCCTATATCCCAGTATCACCCCTTCATTATCATGACAAATCACCAAACCCCACACTGGCTTTCTCACCTGCCCTCCATACAATTGTCTTCCCATGGGTCTTATCAGTCTCTCTCTATGGGGTAAAAGGGAAACTGATAAGACCTATGGAAAGAGGATTGCATGGTGAGTAGGTGAAAAAGCGAAGGTGGGGTTTGGTGATTTTCCATGAAATCTGCTCAAAAAGGGGACATCATGCCACATTTAAATAAAAAATTGTGATAATAAAGGGGTGATACAAGGATATAGAATTGGCGAATAGCCCATGGCAGAAGGGGAGATACCACAATTGTATAGCAGACAATTGGTCAAAGGATCGGCTTCCCTTGTCCCTCATCAGTTGTTCTGTGGTGCTAATAATTGCAAAGCTCACTGACGATGCCGGCGAAACGTCTGGGAATGTACCACGTCCACGGTCCGACTCTGGAAATGTTCATGCATACTATGGACTCTAGACTAGGTGCGTTCCTCTAGGTCTTCCCACCAAAACGAGTTGCGAAAACAAGGTCAAACAACTTCTATACAACGAAAGGAGACTGCGACCATACAAAAGGCCACACCATCTTGGTCTTCATACCCTTTTTTTATTTTGCTTGAGACTTCAGAAGGTTTGCGTGACTTGGGTCACTCCTCGTCTTAGTATTACACTTCCAATAATTGCCTGTCATGTAACTCGTATTCTTTAATCCAATAATTCACACCAGCTTACTCGAGGGTGAATATATAGCAATATGTATTTGCATTCTTTTTCAGCCTTTTCACAC